TGGTTCTGCATACATTCTTAAAATAGAATGGAGGTCAGTGAAACTCTGGATGAGTACAGGCTCAGTGGCTCTTTTGAATGAGGTCTGAAGTTTCTAGATTCCCTGTTATTTGATCAAGAAGAAGTGAACAGAAATCACACTAACCATGAAAACCAAAACAATGACAACAAAAACCCACCACGTTGCCATCAACTCTATCTATTTCTACCCATAGCAACTCTATAGGACAGAGTACAACTGCCCCATAGGGTTTCCAAGGCTGTAAATTTTCCCAGAAGCTGTCTTAGTTATCTAGTGCTATTATTATAACCACAAGTGGAGGCCTTTAAGAAACAGAACTATAGGAGGCTAGAAGTCTGAATTCATTGTACGAGCTTTGGGAAAGGCCCTTGTCTCCTTTGAGCATCTGTACACCCAGCATTCCTTGGAGATCTCCATGTGTCTTGATATCACTCATCCCCTGCACCTAGAAGCTTCACAGTACAAGAAGCCCGGGTCCAAAGTATGCACTCCACTCTTCTCTTGGTTCTTTTTTCTTGGTGGTAGCAGATCCTTCTTTTTCTGCTCATATCTCTCTTCTTTTCTCTCTTGTAAAATAAAAGGTGTTGCAAGCAACACCCTTGGGAGTGTCCCTGTACATGGGAGCAGACCGTGCTGGGATTAAGGGTGGTACATTCCACCATTAATCCTCTTAATGGTTTATCATATCCGATCACATTATAGGGATTATCATAACTACCAGGCCACTTAGAGTCATGGTCCCACCAAGCTGAGACATACTTTGGGTGGCACAGTTCAACCCATGACAGAAGCCTCCTATCACAGCTTTCTCCCATGGAGCTCATGGAAGCAGTTCAGACAGCCGACCTGTCAGTGAACTACCGAGTGCTTACCCACTACACCACCAGGGCTTAACGAAGGAAAGAGGGGAACTCTGCCACACAGTTTAAAGACTTAACATGAAGACACACATGGAGCTGTCAGAGGCAAGCATGTGCCGGGGAGGGCGAAGGGTTGTATAAATATGGGTTAAGATGCTGCCTACACTAGCAGATTTGATCATTATCACACAGTGCACACTGCTTCCAGATTCATTACTTCAAAGCTTGGCTCTGCCCATGACATTGCTTTTGAACTTGAAAAGTTATTGAACTTGAAAATTAAAGTAATTTCATAGGGACAAAAGTTTAGTGGTTACAAGGAGCTGGAGAAGGAGGGAATAGAGAGTTTTGGCTTCATAATTACTTAGGGTATGAAAATGTTTGGAAATAGGTAGTAGTGAATATAATTAATGTCATTGAATTGAACACTTAAAAGGGTTAAAATAACAAATGTTTTGTTATATGTATTTTGTTGTTGTTGTTAAGTGCCATCAAGTCGGTGACTCATAGCATCCCCATAAATGTTAACCAGTATGACCAACCATATCCCATTGGAATATAGTTCTTGTTCAGACATTCTAGCAAGGAAAGCTTTAGCCATGTGGGGTTTCTGGGGCCAACCCCAGAGCCTGGTACTGCCAAGATGAAACACTGTGACTTCTTTCACTCAGGATATATCATCCACTGCCTTCCTAAATCTTTCTCTCTGATCCCTTACCTCCTGCTTTTCCTATGTGGCTTCACTCAGCTGCAGCTGCCTCAGTGTAACACCAGATGACGTCAGCTTTCCAGCTGCATTCTGGGATAGCACACGGTCCTGATATGTAGACCAGCTGGAAGCCATATGAGATGGTTTTGATCCATCTCTCCCTCCTCTTCAATGCCCCACAGTCCATTCCAGCCCCTCACACTGGGAACTGCCAATATCTTCCTCCGTAGTGCATTGCAAACCACGCATCTGCAGATTTTAAACCCCCATCATAAAGTGGGGCTGCCAACTTCATAAACAATTTCTCCTTTAAGCCTTACAGTACTTCAGGCATTGGAAGCACTGTAAGGTCCATTTTACAGACAAGTATTCTGAGGGGTTCCACTAGTCTCTGTCTGACGAATAAGCCTAGAGGAATAATTTCTTACTGCTTTCCAACAGAAGCTGAGCATTCTTTCAGTACTGAAGTTGTTATAGAAACAGCCTCCATGTGTTGTTAATGGTGGTTGCAGGTTTGTTCACTGCTGAGCTCTGCCCCCAGAGCCAAAGATGAGATCTGCCTTTGCTAGGTCCCAGTGTGGTGGATGACAAGCTGCATGTCCTTTCCTTAGGGACGCGCAGGATGGAAAGACAGCATGCACTTGACTAAATGGGACACTACTTAGCTTTCACAGCTCTAGTGCTATTAACATTCCAGTTTTAAAGCAAGGAAGTATTAATGTAAAATATATAGCTGTTCACTGTGACCTTATAACCTCTGCTAACACAGTAATGTCTTCTATTGTTTAGCTCAGCAGTGCTCCTAAGTAGTTTGTTACTATAAGAGGTACTTTTGTTGTTAAGTGCTGTTGAGTTGGTTCTGACTTTATAATGTTTCATAGAGACCTGTATAAGGTTTCCAAGGAGCGACTGGTACTTTGAACCGCCGACCTTGTGGTTCAAATCAACCTTGCAGTCCAGTGCTTTATCCCACAGCGCCACACCAGGACTCCTTAAAAGGTACTAGTTCTTGAAAACACACACACACAATTTTCTCTGTAAGCTGAATATTTAGAAGAATAAGCTCCAATCAGAGGTGCGGGGGAATGGTGAAGTCCTCATTTGGTTCCTCACCTAAGGGTACACACCAGCAGGCTTGCTCCTCTCTCCTCTGAAAAGAGGCATGCACACAGCTGACTACCCTAATTATACTGTCCCCAGAGAACAGCAGTCCATATTGTTTGTCCAGCACTACCTTGAATTCTTCTTGACATAGAGTGAAATTTTGTCAACTCCATACAGGTATCAGGTGCCAGTTTTTTTCGCATCTGTTATTCCATTACCGCATTTTAAGATGACTCAATTAGTTTTAAGCACTGTGCTAGACTGCAAAGTCAATTTGAACCACAAGGCCGGTGGTTCAAGCTTACCAGTCACTCTTTGGAAACCCTGCACAGGGTCGCTATGGGTAAGAAACGACTTGATGGCCCTTAACAACAACAAC